AGAGAGAGAGAGAGAGATATCTATTTTGTGAAACTATGTAATGCCGCATGTCTTTTGAATTTAATAAAGCGAGTTAAACGCAAAAGAAGAACGCAAAGGAAAGATAATTATCTCGCACGAAAAAATGTCCCTCTGCTATTCCTTGATTTTCAAGAGGCACACGCGGGACATCCAACATTAACAGCAGTTTTTCTTCAATCATTCAGTATCCATAATGCAACGAGGCTCATCATCGTGGAAGGGAATAGGCTGCCTTCGTTCGTTCGTTCGTTCGTTCATTCGGACGGGCGGTTCAGGTTGGACGCGTAACGGGAAGCCGGCGTCACCGTTACGGAAGGGGAGCAGAAGAAGAAGAAGAAGAAGAAGACGAAGAAGACGGGCGCAGCGGGGCAGCGGCACCCAACTAGACAGAGTGGAGCAGGAACACAGGAGGAAGAGAAGGAGGAGACCGAGGAGGAGAAGCAGCAAGAGGAAGAGATGAGGAGCAGAGAGTAGAAATGAAAAAGGAGTAGTAAAAAGAGGCGAAACGGGGCCGCCGGTAAAGGGAGAGAAGGGAACCGTATATAGGAGATCGTAGCTCTCGTCGTGTGTACCGTTGGTTTCTCTCGCGAAACCCCCTGCCAGAAGACGTCGTTATGCGTGGCTAAGGAAAAGAGGAGAAATCCTATGGACGTGTATGGAGGAGAGAGGAAAAACGGTAGAAACGTCAAGCGAAACAAGTGAGAGAGTGAGAGAGAGAGAGAGAGAGAGAGAGAGAGAGAAACCGTGCGATTCTCTCTGATTCGAGAGAGCCTCGCCGTTTGCGCGCGATGTGATTTTATGACGACCGTAGAAACCGTCGTCGGAACCAAACGGTACTCGTCCGTTTGCTCGCTTGTTGGCTGGATACATCCGTGCAGCCATCGCGAGGACAATCGAGAGCAACCCCGTTACTCGGCTCGTCGCGCGGCGCTATTCCTTACGCCTTTACCTTTGCGAGCGACAATGACCGGCGATCTGCTGGAAACGCCAAGATCGCTTCGCAGAATCGACTGTCTTTAATTCTTTAACGTTCAACTGCTCTTTCAAAATTATATTAACAAACACATCGACGTATGTTACAATTGAAATACTAAATGTAAATCGCTCAAACTGATTTATTTTTATAATAAATGAAGGTAGTAAAGATAACCATTGCAAAATGAAGATTCTAATCAATTATCGCGACATTTTAATCTTAGCTCTTTGTATATACATATTTGATTTAAAGAGTTAATTCTGGAAATTCATCTTTCTTCATATAGTCCTCTTTAGCGGTATTATTAAATTTATTCAACAAAATGTGAAAAAACTGATGAAACGGTTGGAATGCAATTCGCTGATTAAATTTTATGGTATCCTGGTCATTCTTCTCCCCTGGTCAATAAATTTAACAACATCAAAATTAAATATTGTATTGGCAGAGATAAATCGGAAAAAGTAAACTCAGTTCAATTTTCAGATTGCACTCTCCACGTTATGACGGTTTACTCATCGTAAAGAGTGAATTTTTTATTTATAAAAAAAGAGAACAAAATTGAAAATGGTACAGAGAAATATGTTTTTTATCTTTTTTTTCATCAAATTGATTAAATTAGACAATACAAATTAATTGTGCAAATAAGGATTTAAAAAATAATTACAGTAAAAGAGAAAATTAATTATAATTGACATCATAAAAATACCGTTAAATTATTAAATAATCGCGAAATTTATAATGTCGGATTTTTGAGAAGAAAAAGCCGCTCTTGATGATTGGGTAATAACACATAGTAACACATTATCATTAAATATCGATATTCTCCATTCTACACGTTCAATATCAATGATGTCTCGAATGTTAATTGTGATATCTGAGATCGATATATGAGAGGTTTATTTTGGAAATAGCGTAATTCTACTCCCGTAAATCCGCATAAATAATTATATCATATCAATTTATATCCTCCCCTCATTAAAATTTCTAATTAAAATCACTTGCAAAATAAGCAACGAGTACAAAGTTAATTAAATATAATGAAAAAAATATGCATCAGGAATAATTTAATAATAGAGGACCTCACACTATGTATGTGGTAGAAGTAAATGGATATAAGATAAAGAGATAGTGCGTGTATGGATATGAATAGTTCTCTCTTCTACGGGGTTGATCCGTAATTTCGAGAGAGCAAGGCGGAAGTTTATGGGTGCGCCGTAATTACGTACACTGGTAATCAGTTAACAGTTAAGCCAAAGTTCTTCGGGTACTCATTCGAAAGAATCACGCCGCTCATTAGAGACGTATGTTAAATGGTCACGCACGAATAAATCTAAATGCTATTTTCTTGCATCGCGCTTATTCTCGCGGAACTCGAGAACCCGACACGTGAGAGATAGACGTAAAATTACGTACTATTTATTTTAACGTTGAATGATAAACTTGCACCTGTTTTTTCTTCCCGATAAAAATATCGTTAGCCGTGAGTAACCGTGTGATCGTAGATCACACAGCTCCTTGCTGATAGTTTCCATTTCATGTAATCGTTTGCTGCAATTTGTATGATTTAGATTCGAGCCGCGATAAGGTATGACGTTGTATCGCGCTCGGTCTCTTTCCGAACTATCAAATCTCCATGACGCTATAATCCATCAGCTATAGTCCGCTAATAAATCGATTACGTTATATCCACGCGGGGCTACTCGCCTTTGTTCAGAAATCAGCGGGGCGGTAAATGCACCGAAAGCGCTGCACGTTCGAATAAACGGCACGATGCGATGCTAACCATATTACCGTGCTCGACAATATCCAAACCGATACACAGCTCGTTCCGACGGTGTTTATTAGCGTACCATCCAGCTTCAATAAGGATAATTAAATCTGGACCAGCCATCCATCCGCAAACAGTCTGACGTGCCAATTTATATTTACGTTAAAACGATAACAACAGCTATTATTATATTATTTCAGCATTAATGTAAAAAAACAGGATTAAGCAGGAGAGCGCGTGTAGCATCTCAATGAGATCTAATGGTATTTAGCTCAACCCCCATTCAGATCTCCCCCGGTGAAATAATGCTGAATGATTTATGTAATTCCATTTCCGTAAAAAATTTACCTTGTTCTAATATTCATCCAAATTTAGCTGTTAGTCGAGGGTTCAGGCATCGAATGTCAATTTACGTCGCGGAAACGCGAAGCAACTCTCCTTGTTATCACAAGTGTGAATCTACGTGTACTTGTGAAACAGCCGATGGTGCACCCCATTGTCGGTGAGCACTGGCGCGTGTTCGACATGACGGTAGACACTCCGGAAGAAAGCAGAGTGGGATCCCGCACTGCTTTCCCGAGATATCGAGGAAAAAAAGGAGGGAAAAAGAAGCGCGTGAAAATTATTCGCCGAACGTATTACCAGAACAATGTTATAAGTAATTTCCTGCTCCTCTCTGAAAAACAGATGGGAAAATTATGAAAATATTTAACGTAAAAAGCGATTATACAAGATGCTCGCAATTATCGTGCAATTATTTCAGAGCGAATTCTCGAGATTAAGAGAGAATCAAAAATCCTAAAATATCTATTGTTAGTCAAGAAATAAAAAATTCGTATAAAAATGTACAAAGATATAAAATTTCAAATATTCAAATAATATTCTTCTTTTGATAATATTTATCTTTTTATCTTTTATAAATATTTAATGTATCTCTCTACATATAAGAAATTAAATGAGAAAAGATAAATATTTTCTAAACTGCGAAAATTATATTATAGTAAATCGTATTAAATATATTAAATTGAATTAGAATTAATATATTAAATTAAATTGGAAATAATATTAGAATTAAATTGAATTAGAAATAATAATATTCTCACTGAACAGAATTTCCGATCGAACGAATTTATTGTCTCAAACGATTCTAATGAATTCGTAAGATAAAATGTAAAATGTAAGACGATTTCGCGAAGTTATTTTGAAGAGCAAACAACGAAATATTCGATATGTATTTATTTTATGATAAATAACGTTTTAAATATTTCTTTGGAAAATAGATTAACATTTTTACACTCATAACGTGCTGTTGCATATACATATTTTTATTATCATTTGTATTATCATCTCATTATTTGTTTAAGTATAATAATAATACTGCAAAATTTTGTTACTTTAGCAATCAATTATAACAATTCTACATAATTATTTTAATAATCCAACAAAATTATTTTCAGAATTGTATCTGGCTAAATTTTTAGATCGACAAAATTGTTTTTCCTATAACATAAATTAAAAAAAAATAACTTAAATCAAGATTAAAATTAATTTAGGTTCATAGAAATAGACATTATATCTAAAACATTTTGACTACGAATTTGTTGTCGCACGGTACATGTTTTTCGCATTCTAATTCGCGTATTATGCAGCCATCTTTATTTCTCTTCGCACAACGAGATTCGAATGGGCGATAATTCCACGATAATTATACTCTTGTAATCAGTTAACAATTATGGCAATATTCATCAGCGTTCGTTTGAAAGAATCGTATCGCTTATTAGAGAGAGAGAGATACATGTGTACATATGATACGGTCACGCAAACAAATGTAAATGTTATTTTGCCTCGAACGCAAACAGGC